TCGACCGGGTCGGGTTGCGACTGATAGAAAGATTATCATCTTTAAACGAGACGACTACGGAAATTAGCTTAGCAAGAAGGTAAGAGAATAAGAGTCCTATAAAAATGGATTGTATAAACTGGCCCCAGTCACCCATCGTGGAATGAAAAACTACGAAATGAAACCCCAGAAAATTATTTAAAAAAAAAAAAAAAAAAAAACCCTAATCCTGTCAAAAAAAATTGAGGAAGAAGAACTGGCTGGGGTGAACTGTACGGCCAATTAAAACCCCTAGGACATTAGAGGAGAAAGATGAGAAAAACCCTTAAAAACTGAGAGATTTGCAGAGATACGCCTAACAAAGACGATTCCCTTCTTAATTTTCACTGTTTTTTTTTTATTTTTTATTTTTTGGTTTATTACTCATAAGAAAGAGACGGATTGGCGCCGGAAGATCAGAGCGGTCTGGTGTCTTTCGGGTGTGCGCAGTGCGCACAATTGAGAGTGAGGCAATAATCAGGTGCTTCGCCCCGTTTAATCTATAATGCTACCTGGTTGATTGAATGACACGTGGCAATCTAATTAGAATATTAAATAAATATCCAATGTACCAAAATAACACAACGTAAAAATTATAAAAAGAGAAAATAGGACGAGGAATTTTAAATTTTTATTGAGAATAATTTTTGAATAAATTCAAATTATTTTTAATAAATTATTAATAAAAATTCATTTAAAAAATGAAACTTAAAGGGCAACACGTGGCAGGTGTACGGTGCTTGTGTGCACCTGAATCCAACTCATCATTGTAAACGGATCCAAAATTTTGTATAGGCCTCTGAATGCATGTGTTTGGACATGGGCCTTAAATCATCCAAGCGGTGGAGTTTGTTTGTTTCCCTCTTTATAATAATTTAATATTTTTTGTAGTTAAAAATTAATAGGTATAAAATATTTTTTCACCTATAAATATAATTTATTCAATTTTATTATTATATACTTACTTATATACTAATAAATTAATTTATTTATTTTATTAAAAGTTAGACATTACGAATTTATAATATATTAATAAAATTTTATATTCTTAATATATCATTACTTGAGTAATTATAATTATTATTGTAATCACTACAAAATTATTACATTATAATGTCTCATATGAAACTTAAAACTACTATAATCACATTGTTTATAATGGCTTTTATAATATACCTACAATTTTGTAAATGATGTATTATTTTGTAATAATTTTGTTGTTTAAACAAGTAGTGCTTGAAAAATTTGTTATATTGAATTTTTATTGTATTATTATACTCTAAATTGAGAATTATTTGTTATAAAATATTATTTTTATAAATATATATAATAACTTTACTAAGACTTAAATTAATTCAATCACTATTGATCTAGTAACATATTAGTGAAATAATATTTTAATTTAATTAAATCAAATATTATAAGTTAATCGCAAGCAAAATATTTTGTAAAGACCTATAATCTTATATAAAATAAAATTATAATTTAAATGCGGAAGCGTATAATAACATTAGAATTTACATTCCTTACACATAAATTAGCATGCTCAATAGAGTTGCAGAAATGTCAATTTTACAACGATTTACAAATAAAAAAAAAGTAATAACATATGAAAATAGTAAATAAATGTTATATGGAGGTTAACCTCCATTAGCTCTTGATAAGATATGGGGGAACATCTACTCACAGCCCTCCTGCAGATCAGGATCTAGATCTTGGTCTTATTGATATGAAATAATTAATAGGGGAGGAGGTGAACTACACTAACTCAATAAAAATATCACACAACTAACCGATACAAGAACGGAAGGTTGGTAAAAATAATAAAAATAACAAATGGAGCTCTTAATTTAAGTAAATTAATTTATCATAAGAAAAATTATTTATTGCATACTTACCGTTGCGAGATTTCTAAAATCGACCTATAAAAACAATAACTCAAATAATATTATGATCTTATATTCAAGTGAGTAAGAACAACAACTTTTTCTTTTTTATTTTGCTTACTAGTATTTCTGGGAGTCCATAGAGGTGTCCTACTACACGTGAACTTAATATCTAAACTTGTCAACTAACCAGCCGTTCTTATATCTCGTATGGTATGGGTGCCAAAAATACCATTCATCGATACCTCGTCCAATATGAGGGTGAATTGGGTCGTCCTCATACCCCGTCCGGTATGAACGTAAAAATACAATCCTTCGATACCTCATATGGTAACGTTCACGGTAGGGTTTCCTATATACCTAGTCCATCCACCATCTCACAGGATATCCAGTAAGACAATCATTTATTAATTCATGTAATCAAGCAATTTTTTATTTGCATATTAATTTCAAATTTTACAAATCAATTGTAAATTATGCAAGACAAGTGATATATGCATTAAAGAAGCATAACTGAATCATTTAACCATTTCAATATATTATAATGTATTAAAGCTATAAAATTAAATAATTAGTTAAACATGACAAATAAATAATTAACCGGTTCTAGCTCTATTAATGACCTGTAATTATTCTTAAAGTTTCTAAATTTCACAAAATACCATATTACTAATTATTAAGCTTCAATTCCGTAACAGAAAATAAGGTGAGAGATTCTTATCCGAATCAGTATCCAAAACACTAAACTTTCTACTGCGCCTATTGGTGGTCATTGGGTTTCCTGAATTTTCTTGCAGATATTAAAACACATTTCACATACTTAAAAATACACAAAAAATAAAAAAATCAGTGTTAAAAATCCTTTATAGGCAATTTTGGAGTTCCAACACGGCGGCACCGCCATACTCCGGCGACGACACCATGGCCCACGATGGTAGTTTGCCTCGATTTGGCCATTTTCAGCCAGTTTTGGTCAGTTTCGGCCGACTTTTTATATATATTTGCGAAAAAATACATTATGAGGCCTTGGTTGGCCGAAAAAATCAAAAAACAGAAACCTACCAATGGTGGGGTTTTCTGGGTATGGCGGTTCTGCCGGCTCACCTTCGCGGCTGGGATTTTTTCTTCCGTCAACCTATAGAAAAAAGAACGGTTAACACAACGGTGGAAAAATTGCACGAAACGAGAAATAGAAAGGAGCTTATCAAAATAGGTTCTAAATTTTGTCCGCGGCGGCGCTGCCAAAATTTGCCCCTGATTTTCGGCTCACCTGCCATTTGTTTTGCTTCGATATGACCATAGGAGTGCTTGGAATCGAGTTTCGAGCAGGTAGGAGAATTTTTACCTTTTTTGACGGTCGGAGGTGGCTCTGATGCTGCGGCGGTCGGCTTCCTTCTCTGGTGACTGGCTCTTCTTCTCCAGCGGGAGGCTGGTGACTAGGGTTCAAGTTCAGTGTGATGTGAAATATTTATGCTCACCTCACATTAATTTGGGTCATTCATTGCGTTTGATCTCTGCCATTCGATCGTGCCTAAGGAAAAAATAAATATGAACTATTTATCGCATTTGATATCGACCGTTCGATTGCGCATGAGGAAAAAATGGATTCGGATTGTCCATGCACGCAGGATCGCTTCTGGCTCGTCCGATCGCGAGGTACGCGAATCGCCAATGTGGCCTCCTGCATGACAGCGAGTCAGCGCGCCTTGCCACACAGCATGCTCCAATTCATCGAGGCTGCTGACTTGGCGATCCTACGTGGCCAAATTTTTTTAATTTATATTCTGACCTTTAGTTTTCGATTTTTCTTTCAAAAACACCATCCGATCCTAAATTTTCACCATTTTTTCCCAAAATTATTTTCAATTTCATCCATAACCTGTTTTTTTCATAATTTCACATTAAATTAAAAATTTTTAATTTAAAAAATAAACTCTTTATATATTTTAGAATGTTAAAATTAATCCTGGGCCAAATTCTAGGTTCGAGTATTACAACTCTCCCCCCATTAAAAGAAATTTGGTTCCTCAAATTTGTCTTCCTCTCACTCAATCAAACAGTTGGGGATGTTGTACTTTGAAGTCTGATTTTAGCTCTTATGTGGCCTCTCTCTGTGTGTGATTCTGCCATAAGACCTTAACGAATGAAATTTTTCAGTTGCAGAGTATTCTATTTTTTCGATTTACAATATCTACTAGTACCTCCTTATAGAACAGATCCTCATAAAGTGAAAGGAACTAATGGGCCAAGATGTGAGAGGGGTTCAAGTTGTACTTGTGTAACATGAATACATGAAATATATTATAGACTATAGATAGTTTTAGAGGTAGTACCAATCTGTAGATGGCGGTCCTAATTCTGTCCAAGATCTCAAATGACCTAATAAATCAAGGATTTAGTTTTCTCATCTTGCCAAACTTACTGATTCTCTTAAAATAGGTGATCTTGAAGAACATTCGATCACCTTTCTCAAATTT